AAGCTCAGGAACCCACGGATAAATCAGAGATGAGCAGATAATGTCAACATCATGCAGTAAGTGGTAGGATGGGAGTACAAACAGGGAGCACTTGAGAGCCTTCCACAGCCCCCTACGGGATTTCTTCTCACAGTGCTTATTAGGAAACAGCAAAGGCTAGGGAGACTTCTCAGGGATAAAGCCTAGCTCGATAAGCCCCGTATAACTGTGACAGTCACCATTTGCCAAATGTTGTAGACGGCAGCTCTATCGTTGTCTCTCTTGCACCCCTTCCTTCTTATTTTGGTAACAACGACCCAGATTCCCTCTGAAAATTTCTCCTTCCCTGTTTCATCAGCCTTGATGGGGTATTAACACCCCCACCCACAAGACCACTCCATGCCTGGGCAAGGATTTGGCACAAGACCCAAGCTACTCAAACAAGATTCTCCAAGGAATCTAAATCTCATACGCAAACGAGGATGAACTTGGTTAGAGCTGATTTCTTTCTGATGGCAACATCCTGAAGGGTCATCCATTAATTCCTTTTACCTGCATACACAGAACTGATCAATTCTATTCCTTTTTCAGGCCTGGTTTACTTTTTTTTTTTTTTAGTTCTGTGTGACACCTTCATAACCTCCCATTAATTTTCCTTACATCGTTAAGCAGCCAGAGTTGAGTTTCTGTTGCTGGCAACCGAAGAACCCTGACTGATGCAAGAGTTCACTCCACACCAGGCACATGAGCCCTCACCTAAGTACCTCCTCAAGAGACAGATACTGTGTTCCCTCTCTGCAGACGAAGAGACTGATGCTGAGAGTCTTGTGTACCTGAGGACACACAACTAGTCCATGCTGGGGCCAGCATTTGAATCAGAATCCAAAGCCTGGGATTTCTCCTATTCATCCCTCCATGTCACCAATCCAATGCCCTGCCATTTAAGGACAAGCTGCTGCTTCTAGATCTCATGTCAATATTATTTACAGTTTACAAAATGTTTTCACACACAACACTGCATGTAATCCTCATAGGCACCTGGGAGGTAGATATTTTCACGACACTGGAAAGTAGATTGACCCTGAGTCTGGTCAGCCTCACTTTTCCCCTTGCTTAAAACCTTTCTATGACTCAACACAGCCTGCAAAGTGAGTCCAAATGCCTCAGCATGTTGTTCCAAGTGCTTTGCGATTCAGGACCTGGGGCCTCAGGTACCCTTTCTGGTACTTTGAGCTCCAGCCATATAGAACTACTTGCAGTTCCCCAAACCTGCCAGGCTGTTCCATGCCTCTGAGTCCTCCCTCCAACTGGATGTCACCTTCCCACCCTCACCCCAAGTTGTGACTGGTAAACATTTACTTATCCTCCATGTAGAATGCCCTCCCACCCCATCTCATACCTGGTGAACCCCTGCTTACCTTTCCAGACTCAAATGCAGCTCATCTTCCTGAGAAACCTCTCCTGTGCCTCCTGCCCCCAAGGAGAACCAATAACCCCGCTGTACGCTGGGCAGGAATCTGGGGTGTCTCTAGCATTATCTGACATCGTAGTGGACACTGAGGTTGATCCCTCAATATCTTTCCACCCCAAAGGTCATTCTAATCCAGTCCTGCAATCCCATCCTTCTTGATAGCGAGTGACTGGTCAGAAGTGGCCATGGGATTATTAAATCCCATTTCTGATTTATTGGTGCTCTTCTCTGCCCACCTGAACAGCCTTGGGAACTGGACCATCGTTCATGCACTTGAGCCAGCCTCTGTGCACGTGTCGGGGCTGACGCTAGTGCTCCTGGGATAACTTTCCTGATGGAGGGGGAACTGACGAGCCCTCCCGACTCCTTCCTGAGAGTCCAGCCTGAGGCAGCAGAAGCCAACTCTTGCTCTTGGGTGTGGAGGGAGGAGGGGGCTCCTGTTGTCCTCCAGTGGTCCCTAGCCTGCTAGGGCTTCCCCGTCAGGCCCTCACATGGACACACCTTCATCCTGTTCCCGTCTTTACCTCACACTGCCCCTCCACCTTCAGAACTTCGCCCCCTACGCCTCTTTACTCCACAGGCAATTAGCTGATTAGCACTTAGCAGCCATCGGGCACAGGTGACCGTGAATTTCTGGCTTTACCCCACTCTCCCTCCCTCTCGAGGATGTTTGCACATCCAAAGGAGGTTCCCAGAAGCCTCAGCCTTTCTCAGTCTTCAGAAACTTGTCAGGCACGGCACTGGACGATTTTACACATTTTATTTCGTTTCATTCTCATGGCAATTTTGTAATTATTATTTATTCCCATTTTGTAGATGATGCTGCTGAAGCTCAGAGAGGTTGAGTAACTTGCCCAAGGTCACACAGGTAATAATGGGAGCTGGGACTCAAGGCCATTCTCTCTGGGGTGTAGGGAGTGCCGTCCACAGTCTGCCTCAATCACTGCAGAGACGGCTACCTGTCTTCTCTGCCTTTTGAAAAGCCAGTTCTGTTTGTTCCGTGTCTCCTACAAAAGGGCAGCAGCATCAACCCCCATTTACACAACGCCTTTTATAACATCCTAGCATTTTCTGTTGGGGTGTGTGTGAGATAGCATAAACTCAGTCTTGTGTGAAGCACTAAAGAAGGTTCTAAGCTCCAAGGAGGATAAATAAAGAGGATTCTGGGCCCTGAGCACTGTGAGCTGGAGGATTTTGAAAAGATCAAAGAGACAACTCTGCTGTCCCCAGCCCGTTCGTCAGGCAGGCCTGTGGTGCAAGGGGGCCAGGGCCCACCAGGTGGCAGCAGAGAGCCAGTCAGGGCCGCAAAGTGTAACTAGGCGCGAGCTCTCGCCCTGGGGCTGGGGCAGGGAAAGCAGCGCCACATCCAAACTCGAGGCAGGTTTGAGTGGGCTGAAGGGGTGATGGGTGGGGCAGGCTCGTAGTGACAGCTCACACGTAGTGACAATAGCTCACACTATTGTTGCTAAACTTATTCTGTGCCAGATACTGTGCCAAGCATGCGGTTAGCATTATCTCCTTGAACTCTCACAACTGATCTAGGTAGTAGATACTACTATTAGCCCTACTTTTTAGATCTATGCAATGAGGCTCCAGGGCGTTTCTGATTTGCCCAAGATCACACAGATTGAAGAGATGAAGTGCAGGCAGTTTGGGCTCTAGAGCCCCTGCTGTTAGCCTTGGTGGGGGTGGCGGGCTGCACTTCCAGGAAGAAAGGAAGTCCCCAGGAAGTGTGGAGGGTGAGGGCAGGTAGGGCCTGCCTTGGGCTGGCTTGGGGGTGGAGTCTGAGGCCTAGGCCAGTCCAAGGACAGCGATTAGGAGCCCAGGCAAGGGGAACTTCTGGGGACGCTTCTAGGAAACAGGATGTGGTAGGATTTTCAGGCTGAGGTTCCCGGGGAACCCTTATTTGAAGAAGCCGCCCCAGCTCATCCTGGGCACCTCTGAAGCTGCAAACCACTCAAAGACCCAAAGGGATGCCCTTGTAAGATCTGAGCAGGCCTCCCTTGCTGAGCTCCAGAAAGTAGATGAGCTGGAGAGTATGTCCCCAGACAGGTCATGGTGTCCCCAGAGTGCTGGGACTGGTCCTGTAGCCCCCTCTGGGGGGAGGGGATGATGCCAGCTGCCTTGCAGTCTCCACCCTGGAACAATGCCTGGACACACTCAAGGCCCCTGAATTAGCTCATGTCACCAGGGGGACTTGAGCGAGACCTGGGAGCTCCCCCTTGCCCTGAGATCCAGGTCAGTACCTCCCTCCTCCCTGGTCTTGCTGCCAATCATCCAGGGGCCCAGGTTAGTTACAGAGCCCAGCTTAGCTCAGACCTTCAGCTTCTGGGCTCAGAACTGCATCCTTCTTTCTAGACTAGCACCAACACTAGGCCTCTCTGGGAGTTACGGGACATAACTGCGAGGTTAGCTGCTCTCTAGCAGCTCTCCCTGAATCTGTCGACACCAAGGGCTTGTATCTTTCCTGATTTTTGTACAAAATCTCCTGAATCTGCCTCACTTCTGGAATCCAGACTAAGCATGTTCTATTACTCTGCCTCAGGGCTTTTGCATGGGTTGTTCTCTCTGTCTGTAATTCTCTTCCTCCATCTTCATATGGCTGAGGCCTTCTTGTCATTTAGGTCTCAGTTTACATTTTCCCTCCTTTTCAGAAAGGCTTTCCCTGTCTCGCCTAATAAGGATCACCTCCCTCTCTCTGTTTTGTCTCTCCCTTGCCATCTCCAGTGGTGATTATCCAGTAGGTTGATAATGCCCTCTCACAGGACAGTCCAAAATGGAAACTGGACAGAGTGGGGCCCTCGGATGTTATGGGGAAGGGGAACTCTCTGAGAACTCTCACATTCCTCAATTATGGGGGGTGTTTCGTTTGTCCACAGAGGTTACAGAGAGCTGGTGAGCAAAGGTAACCGTTCGATGCCACTGAAATCCTTCTGGACTATACACATGTGACTCTCAGGGTAGGTTATGATGTCGGGTCAAATCAGCCCTGGTTTCAGTTAGATCCGAGGTAGGTCCTATCTACCTTCAAAGAGAAAATTTTGTCTGCCCCTTAGAAATGCACGAAACCCACTCTCCCCAGGGGACAGTAGTCTCTGAGGGCATCACAAAGAAATCGGGGAGCTCAGCTTAGGAAGTTTTAGGGATCTTCTGTTTCCTCTTCTTGATCAGGAGGGGGTGGAATTAGAGGATCTCCACGTCTGACCCCAGAGGCTCTGCAACCCTCTGAGGTGGGGATGAGGGAGGGTGTAGGGTGCCCAGTTACATGTGAAGTTCAGATAAACAACAAATAATTTTTTAGTAAAAAATATGTCCCATGCAATAAGTGGGACATATTTATACCAAAAAATATTACATGGGACACAGTTATAGTAAAAGATTATTCATTGTTTCTCTGAAATTCAAATGTAACTGGCCATCTTACATTTTGACTGGCAACCCTAAGGAGGAGGGACTAGCATTCGAAATAACTGACTTCCCTGGGATGAAATCCTGGGATGGGGGAAAACAGATGCCACAGTGAGCCATGACTTTTTGAGGGGAGGAATGAAGTTGGTTTCTTTCACACCAATTAAGCAATCACAGACAACCCCGTCAGAAATCCAAACTCGTGACTAACATGGGACTCGAGACCAGGGGAAAAAAAATAAAAAAGATTAAGAGCCAGAGAAGCAAACTTCACACCCAGGGCGAGCCAGCAGACGGAGACGATCCCATCCAGGAAGGTGAGATCCCTGCCTTCTCACTCATGGTTGTGGTCCTCTTCTTTCAGATCATGGTTTGGGAGATTCTGGTGGACTCCACTGCCCTCCCTCGTTATCTCTCTGATGCTTGGTTGTCAGTAGATTTTCTCTTCAATGTTTGTGATTCTTCAGCTTCTGAGGGTTCACAAAGTCTCCTCCTAGATCCTCTCTCTACACTGCCAAGAAGCAAAGCAGAGAACCAGGAAAAGCGGTTTTTCAGGCTGCAGCCTGCTTGGGAGCAGCAGTATTCTCCTGTCACTTGAAGGACCGCTTCTCTTGGCTCGGGTGGAATGAGGTGCATTTGCTTTCCCTACATCATTTGCCAAGGCTCTAAGCTGGAGGTATAGATTTACAGAAACAATTTAATGCAGAATTAATTGAGTTTTGTGTCTGTAATTTTGAACACAGGGTTCACCTCTATGTTATTCACTTGAGATGATCAGTGAGTTCAACTGTAATTTCTTTTTACAACTGGGAAGGGCAAATTGCACATGAGATGCCCCAATAGAAGGGGTTCATGTGGTGAATTCCCCACTCTGCTCTCCCACTACTCTCCTGCTGTTTTAAACAGGCTCATTAACATAACTCTATGGGGATCAGACCTTTGAAATTCATGAGAACAATAAGAGGCAAGACAAATACACATTAGCAAGAAGAGAAAAGAAACCATTGTTGGTTTTTAACAAACACATGTTAATTATGACCACTGCGGTTCATGAGCTTTTTGTTTGTCTGTTTGTATTATAGTTTAAAATTTTGTATAATAATTAAAAATATATATATATATATAATACAAATATATATATTTTTAAACCCTAGTCATGAGACTTGAATGAGGGAGAAGCAGAAATTCATTTTGGTGGGAGGGAAAACAAATTGTTAGACAAAATCAGGTCGTGGGCTTCCTTGGCTTATTTTGGGTGGGGTGAACATGGAGAAGCCCAGACACTTATGTGGGGGAGTTTCCTTGGTTGGAGAGTGGGCTTGGAGGATGCTGTGCTCAGCCACACACACAATATGTCATCAGAACCTTCTATTTGTCCAAGGATTGATATCAAATGATACTTTTGGAGAGAAATAACTCCTCTTCTTTTATTAAGCATAGTCCTGGGCCAGGGAAAGTAAGGAATGAATAAAAATGCTTTTTGTTTGTTTGCTTCTCTACAAGTTTATGGTATAGAGTCAAACTGAAAGCAAATGAAGAGCATTTTTCCCCCAAATAACAACTCAAGTTGAAAGTTTTTGCTTTTGTTTGTAGTTACTTCTTTGAATTTAATTTTCAGTTGGTGGAAGGGGTTAGAAACCTGAGCAATTTCCACTTGATATCAATGAATAAATCCTTTCACAGAGAGAAAGCAGGGGGTCCTGGCTGTCGTTGATGGTCACCTAGTGAGAATGTCTTTGTGGGTCTTTATGAGATGATGAGTGAGGACACTCTGGATGCATTAAATGATGCCTGTGTGCCCCTGCTGTTAGGTGTCCTGTGGCCTGACCCCACAAGATGCCAAGAGAAGAGGCTTACTTCGCCTATGGTTACCCCAAGACGGGGCACGGCCACTCCCACATCACAGCTGAAGAGTAAGTTCAAAACCGGACCCAGCAGGGTTTCCAGTTCGCCGTTTGCTGTCACAGCCTGCTGACTTCCACCAGCATGTGCCTGTCCATAAATCTCTCTAGTTTTCCTTTCTCCAGGGATTAAAACTCTGGCAACGAGGTGAGGAGACCCTGTGGTCCTACAAGGGGTCACTCAAGCCTCTCTGAGGCCAAAGAGGCAAGGAGATAGGAATAGTAAAAAGTTGGATCTTACCATTTTTGTCTGCATTTTTGGCTATTAGGCCTTCGCTGTAGGTTCCCAGGCTGAAAAACATCTGTCTGGGCGCAAGACGCCTCTCTCCTGAAGCCTCACTCTGTCTATTCCACTCAGGCTCCTGGAGGTGGTTTGCAGACAGAACAAAGACGAGTTGCCAAAAAGCGAGTAAGGATGAAGGGCAGGTGTGTGTGACTCCACCAGCAGACTGACTCCAGGGCGAAGGTGGTGGTGATAACCTTTGCATCATAACTTTATCCTAAGGAAAGGTGTTTAGTGTTATGGATTAATTAAAAATAAGCATTTATATAATTAAGTATTTCTAAGTGCTAAGCATTATATAACCAGCCCAAGATGTTACTCTTGTCTTTGAAAAAATCTTACAATCTCATGGGAGAGTTAGGTTCGAGAATAATTTCAGCAAGTGTTGTAAATGGAACACAGGCTGCAGGGACACGCTGTGCCTGTACTAGAGTGGGCAAGGGTGTGGTGGTGGGAGCAGGGCCTCCACCCTCTTAGTGGAGACTCCAACGGGACAAACAAGGAACCAGGTTTTTATTTGGACCATCTCTTAAGTGGTCTGTTCAGAACTTCCTGCAAATCTGCTCTCTCTTTGGAAAGAACTATTGAAATATCTTTTCTAGAGTGAACTATCAGGGGCAAGCAAGACGTAGAACCCATCCGAGGCCCCAAGGAAGAATTCAGGCTGGGAGCATTTCCTCAGAAGACCGTAGTGAGACATCCTAACATCGCTGCATGGTCAGTTAGGGTTGGGGGTGGTGAGATCTTCTGAAAAAATGTCCCAAGAGCAAAAGTATACTCTTTAGGGAGTACATTGTACATGGTATTAGGTAGGATATTGTTTCGGTTCTGTATGATGACTCAGTAGACTCTGTCTCTGTGAAACCTCAGCAGAGAGGGGTGCTCTCAGTTGAGAGGATGTTAAGTCACCTGTGGAACTTGTGAAAATGCAGTTTCCTAGACACTGCCACCCAAAAGGCTGACGTGGTAGGTCTGGGGGTGGGGGCCCTGGATCTACACTATAACATGCACCTCAGGTGACTCTGCTGCAGGAGGTATTTGGTGACCCTCTGAGGAGCCCTGCCTGGCTAGGTCGTGGGTTCTTTTGGTTCCTCTGGCATATCCTGGCGTTTTCTGCTCTGTCAGTCACTCGGTGTGCGTGAGGGCAACATGACTGTGTGTACAGTGCTGGAACAGAGCTCTGTCTGTGTCCAGATGTCCAAGGGGATGACCATAAACCTGTGGGTAAAATTAGATGTAGGCATGCTGGGAATTGAAGCAGCTGCCTTCAGTCACGAGAGCCCACTGAGCGCTCCTTGTGACAGCTTCCCTCCAGGAAACGGTGGTACAGCAGGGAAAGCACTGGCCCGGGAGATGGGAGGCCTGAGTCTCGCCCAAATTCTATCACTCACTCGCTGCGTATCTCAGGCCAGTACTCTGAATGCTGGTTCTGTCACCTACCAGTTGTACAACCTTGGGCATTTTACCAGCCTAAAGTCTTGCGGATGTCAGATGTAAAATGAATACCATACCTACTTCAGAAGATTGTTGTGAGGATGGAATGAAAGCCTGTAAGTGGGGCGCTTGGCACAAATCGGTGCTCAATGAATGGTAGAATAGCCATTAATGTGGAGGTGAGGCTCATGAATCTAGGTAGGTCTTGGCTTCATGATCTAGAAAGTGGGTGGGTGTTGGCCTGCGTAATTAGGTTCATCCCATGGGTCTCTCTACTCCATTTGGAGAGGACAGGATAGGCTCAGTGCCTCAGCAGCCTTGAGATGGAGGTTGTCTGGTGGGTGGTACTGAGCAAAGTTCTCTCCAGGAGAAGCCTCAGTTAGACCTTGTTCACCTGAGCTGCTCAATCTCTTATAAACCACCCAGCTCTGCAGAGCCTTTCTTTAGCAAGTCACAGAAAAAAGACTCAGCACTGTCCACTTTAATCATGCTGTAATGTGGAAAATCAGGCAGATGTTAGCAAACTGACAACATTATGCAGGGAAAGCACAGCCCCTGGCCCCATTTCCAGGGCCTTTGTGGTAAATAATGCTTCCCATGGGCCACTGGACACAGGGCCCAAGAGGCTGCCTTAGATGCCCGGGTTGCATCCTGCTGCTCAGGAGCAGAGCCGTCTCAGTAAGTGACGCTGCAGCTTTGCTCTAGGTTCAGCTCAGACACTTCTGGCCAGAGCTGAGCCTCCATGCTATTTCTTTCAGTAATCCATGCCTGGCCAGCCACGAGGTGCTTACTAAATCTTTCCTGAGTGCTTGACTCCAAAGGTCAGCTAGCCTCTCTGACTTGGCAGCCACGCAGGCTGGGGAGGTCAGGCCTCTCATCTTAGCATCCCCACAGCTCTATCCCTGGCTCCATTCTGGGATGACTCTTCCAGGCCACTCAGGTGAGACCAGAAAAAGCAGCAAGCGCTGTCCCCTCTGGTCTGGTCCTTGGTGATCCTGGACTGGATTCCTGGAGCAAGTGGAGGCCAGACAGGAGCTTGCCTAGCTGAGCATAAACTTGGGACATGTGTCCTACCAGCTGGGCTGGGCTCTGGTGAGCCTATGCAATAGTTTTAGTCTCAGAGATCTCTAAATCCCACAAGTCCTCCTTCCATCCCTTCAGTCAGAATGTGCCAGCTCTAAGCCCTGGGTGGCCAGTTTCCATGCTCTCCCCTTCTGTTAATTACCTCCTCTCCACCCCCACTCCAATCCTGCTCCGTGAAAGTTGCCAATCCTCTCATTCTCACTAGAGTATCAATGACCCACCAGAGGTTAAAGTAACAGAGAATTAAGCTGTTAGGCCAATGGAATGAATCTTTAAAGATGGTATTTCAGGTCTTCAGTTCCAATTGCAAATGCCAAAAAAAAAGAAAAAAGAAAAAAGAAAAAAGATGATGTTGGGACTAACATTATGCCACAAATCCACATACTTGTAAACAGTTATTTTATTTTGCTTTCTTATTTATTTATTTTTTTTTGTGAGGAAGATCAGCCCTGTGCTAACATCTGCCAATCCTCCTCTTTTTTGCTGAGGAAGACTGGCCCTGGGCTAACATCTGTGCCTGTCTTCCTCCACTTTATATGAGATGGCGCCACAGCATGGCCTGACAAGCAGTGCATCGTGCTCGCCCGGGGTCCGAACCCGGGCCGCCAGCAGCGGAGTGTGTGCACCTAACTGCTATGCCACAGGGCTGGCCCCGTAAACAGTTATTTTAAAGAAGACATTAAATGGCTCATTCATTTTGCAGAGAGACTGGTATTATGGGAGAGAGGATGTGAATTTGTAATCACCCATAATTCATTTGTTTCACCGTCCATCTAACTGTCCATTTATTCATCCATCCATCCATCCATCTTCAAAATATATTTCCTGAAACACCTATATACTTGACCCTTTCTAGGCATTGAGGAAACAAATTGAAAAACAAACCAACCAAAACCCCAAAAACTCCTCTGGGAGCTCTTTTTCTAGAAAAGACAGGTAAGCACACTGCTGATTAACATCACAGGGCTGCCTATTAGAGAAGCCAGGATGGGTTGCCTTCATACTGGGAGGGCTGATGCTGAGTCTAGGAACATGAGTGTATTAGTCAGGGCAGGAATGGAGAGAGGAGATGGGCAAACAGCGAGGAGGGAAGTTTTGGGCAGAGAGGGCACAAACACAACTGACAGAGATTCAAGTTCAAATCCTAGCTCCATCTTGTGCTATCTCTGTATAACCATCAGCAAGGCACTTAACCTCTACATGTATTTCTTCTGTGAAATGGAGGTGACAAGTGGTGCCTACCTTATAGGGCTGTTGTGAGAATTAAATAAGCTAATGTATGTAGAATATTTAGCATGGCATCCAGCTTATAGCAGATGTTGAGTCAAGGTTAATTTCCATTTCCTTTTTGTGGACTGATAGTTGGGGAAAATGTTCTGAACTAGCTCCAATGAAAAGAAAAGATAATTCAGTCTCAATAAATATATTGTCCACATGAGGGTCAGTTGCTACTGCACCTCTTGCGCCTGGAACTTGGGTGCTTGGGCCGTGTCACTTAGCCCTGCTCCTGTGGGTACACACCTGAGAGGCTCCTAGAGAAGATCCTGTCCCTGGATACAGGTGCTGGAGGCCTGGTGGGTGCCCGGTGTGGTGTGGGGTGGGAAACTATTTGGGGACTGGGAGGGGCTGCTCTGGGCTGGGAAAGCCCCTGTGAAGAGAGAAAAAGAGTGATGCACGTGTCATCACAATCTGGAACAAGGTTTCTGTACCAAGGTGCATTTGTCTATCTCTTGGGCCAGGGCTGCAGGGATTGGCATCCTGATAGTGATCCTGGTAATTTTACTGCTCATCAGCTGCTGGTATTGTAGAAGACGAAGTGGATACAGAAGCTTGAAGGTTGGTAAAATTCCCACTGCTGGGACCCCTCCAGATCCAGGACCCCTTCCCCCTTCTGCCTCTGAATTTCCAGGGAGTGGGGTAACATTCTCATGATCACCTTTGGCTCTGACTTCTGTTTCTGATGAATCTTTCTCCACATTGCAATTCTTGCAACTCTTCCTTTGCCTTTTTGCCCAGGCATGGACCCCGGGAACTTGGGCCATCTCTTTGGTTCTACTCACAGCACACTTGAGTGCCTGGCCGTTATGTGTAGCTGAGCACTGAGAGTTTGTGGAGCACAGGGGAAGGGTTCGTGGTCCTCTTGCACAGCAAACAGCAGCATATTAGACACTCCAGTTCATACCAGTCCTTCTGGGGATTCTCACTGGTTCTGTTACTCCACTTAGGAGCCTGCTCCCCTCACCTTGCCTCTTCATCCCTTTTCTTTCAGGTTGCTGGGGAATTCCAAGTTCTTCTAACTCTGTTATACCAAGCAACCCACCATACCCAGAACCCATCCAGCCATCATTGCAATGAGGAAACCACCCATACCTCAGTAACAGGAAGGATCACTGAGTTTTTAACAGGCTCCATCCTCCTTAGATGACCAATGTGGTTTAAATAGTATTTTTTCTTCTTTACCCACATGAGCAAGCAGCTAACACAATGATGCAGTCCAGTCTTCTGGCAGCAGGATCTCCCATGAGTGGGAAACATCAACTGAGTCTCTAAACTATAAAAACTACAAGTTTCAGGGGCGGGCCTGGTGGTGTAGTGGTTAAGTTCATGCACTCCGCTTTGGCAGCCCAGGGTTCGTGGGTTTGTGATCCTGGGCACAGACCTACACACCGCTCATCAAGCCATGCTGTGGCAGCGTCCCACATACAAAAATAGAGGAAGATTGGCACAGATGTTAGCTCAGGGCCAATCTTCCTCAAAACAAAAACAAAACCACAAGTTTCAGAAACCTCATTTCAAAGCCAGCTAGCACTTTAGCACTTAAGCATCCAAAGATATTTTCCATAGTGAGCAATGGAATAAAAGGAGAGCTGCAATTCTCTCTCTCTCTCTTCTCTCTTTCTTGTTACTGTAGATCTGAAAGCTTCTGAGGTTGACACATAATGGAAAAAAAATTGGTCTTTACAAAAGACGTTGGAAAGTTCCATTTCTCATTCAGCAAGCACTTCGTTTAGAGGAAAAGGTTCTGTTATGGAGAGGAGGGTTGGTGTGGGTGGGGGCTGGAGCTTGGCAGTCGGAGGAGGAGGAGAAGTGGAAGGTGAGATGCAGTTTCAAATTCTTCTCCTCCTTGCCAGAAAGCTTGGGCAGTCCCTAGTGTCCCTTTCTGTAAGGCTCATCTTGCCAGAGTGTACCAAACACAAACCATGAAAGACAAGGCGAGTTTGGGGGCTGCCACACCCACCGAGCGGCAGGCCTTTAGTGTGCTGACATCTAGTGGGCGGGAGGAGAAGATGCTGAGTCTGAAGAAGACTCCAAACCAAATACCATAGGAAAGCCTTGGGTTAGGAGGTGGGGATGGGACTCCTGCTCATATGACGTGTCTCTGTGGCTGTCCACAACAGGTTAGTTGGGGAGAGACTTTGCTCTGTCCCAGAACTCCATTTGTAGCTCTGGCATGGGGGGTTAGGACGTTGCCTTATAATTGGTTATTTACTTTTTGCCTCTTTTACCCCTTCTTTCTCCCCCTTTTATGAACCAGGACAGAGAATATTTCTCACTCATGTTTGTACTTCCACTGCCGAGGGTGGTGCCTGGCACATGGCAGTCACCCAACTGTATGGCATCAGGATTTGATCTGTCTGCCACTGACTTGCTTGGTGACCTTAAATTTTAACTTCACTGAGCCTCATTTGCTTTGTTCTACACCTAGATAATGTGATGTAATATGACGTATATCAGTTTTTATTTAATATATATTTCATTCTATACTTCTATTTCATTCTATTTTTGCATATAAAACACACAATGATTTAGTCATTCAAGGAGTAAAAGCTATACAAACTCAATATGTTGGTACCCATTTCCTAACTGTTCACAATTACTAGCTTGATGCTACTGGACAAAAGACAATGATTTTTTTCCTTTCTGCTTCGACATTCTCATCTTACACTCATCCAGTTGAAGAATTACAGAGAGTCTTAAGGTTGTGGGCTCAGATACTGTGAACATTCTGCTTGGTAAAGTTCAAGTTCAACCTGCCGTGCCTCCATCCCTCTAGGTCTAGATCAATGATTTGAAGTTTCTGGAATTTTTATGAGATAGAACTGTGTTTAAATTCCCTGGTTACCCAAGGGTCTAAAAATCTGTCCTTTATTTTTAAAATTAATATTAAAATCTTATTTTGAGACTTTCATGTCTCCTGAAAAACCAGGCTGGGGATCAGCAGTCTAAGAAATTTAGGCAAAATTATGTAAAATAGTGCACTAAGTACTGCATTTATTTACATAATTACCTCCCTGTCTGTCTTTGGTGATTCTAGTTTCATTTTAAAACAGAAGAACATAAGTGACAGTAAATGCAAGCTTTGGGACTGGCATTACTCCACCTTCAGTATCCTTCACTAAGCTTTGAAATGTCTGCTTTCCTGCTTTCATTGACCACAGAATGGTAGCAAAGTTGGTTGGAATTAAGGCCTCCTAAAATTTCTCACTTGGCTAACAATTCTTCTCAGACCCAAAGAATATCTTTTGAAAGGAAAGACTGCTTTTTGCAGCAACATGTTTCTGTAGGAAAATGATCTGTAAGGGACTAGACATTTTTGGTTTTTTTTGTCCCCAAAGCCCCAGTACATAATTGTATATTCTAGGTGTAAGTGCTTCTAGTTCTTCTGTGTGAGCCACCACCACAGCATGGCTACTAACAGATGAGTGGTGTGGTTCCCTGCCCAGGAACCAAACCCAGGCTGTCGAAGCGGAGCGTGCCAAACTTTAACCGCTAGGCCATCAGGGCTGGCTCTGGATGTTGGTTTTTGTATTTACTAGTTTTAGTCTTTCACGTGGAAGTTTGGAACATAATACTTTTTATTCTTGGAGAACTTCGAGGCCCTGCTGACAGCTCAGTTTACACTCATGTCTCATGGTGTTGTGTTTCTCAATGTATGGTCAGGGGCCCCTGCACTCAAATCACCTGGGTTCCTGCTAAAATGCAGATTCCGGGACCATGTCTGGTGGTGGGACCTAGGAACCTACATTTTAACATGCACACTGAAGTTTGAATGCAAATGCGGAGAATTGGCAGTGAACTAGGGGAGTGGATCATGCTCCTAACCCACGGCAGGTGAGAGATTTATAAAATAGAAAAAGAATAAAAGCGATAATTGAGGTAAAGGGAGAGAACACAAGAAACACCTTACCTGAGGTGTACCACTGGGAGTTGGGGAGGGGAGCAGAACCTCCCTGAGTCTTCACAGTATTAGGGTCCTTGTGCATATATCCCTCCAGGGAATAGAGTCAATGATAATTTCAGGCTAGAGTTTAGGAAAACTACTTTACAGTCTGTACAGTGTGTAGGTATCAGCCCAATCCATGTCTGGCCTCATCCAACTGATGTTCCAAACATGTCTCCTCCCTGGGAAACCCACCTTGAGGCCCCTCTTTTCCAACCTAGTGTACCCCAATGACGAGCCCTGGTCTGCAGACAAGCCTGAAGAGCTGCTGGACTCCTGCATGGCCTCCCTGTTCCAGCCCCTCTCAGCCAGCACCACAGAAATGCTGTTAATGCCCCACGGGCTGGATTTGGCTCACAGATATGTTTGGGCCTGTATTTTAAAAAACTGAATTAGGTGCCAACATTTAAACGTAACATTTTACATAAAAATCTCGATTTCTAGTTTCTTCTTTAAAAAATCAAAAGATCTGGCAAAAACTGGCAGGTATGCCATGGTTGTCCCCTTAGATGGGATATACACTCCCTCCTTTCCTATGGCCCCCACCTGGCCCCACCTGATCCCCCTGAATTACCTGCCTGGTCCCTCTAAGTATCTGAGGATAGCTGAGTTGCCCAGGTGCAGGCGATAAGGAGGTGCCCTGTCTGCAGAGAAGTGGTTCTGGGTGCGGCCCTGGACCAGCAGTATCGGCACCACGTGGGAAATGCAAATTCACGGGCCTCACCCGAGACCTAGGTTCTGTGTGTGGGTCCCGCAATCGGTGTTTAACAAGCCCTGCAGGTGACGCTGATGCATGCTCAAGTTTGAGAACCACTGCCGTGGAGAATGCAACAATAATAATAAAAGCGACTCAAAGTTAGTCTGCTTTTTCTTATCACAATGTGCCAGCAATTTCAAACGATGTCAGCGAGGAAATACTGCACCTCACCAGGGTGGACCGCTTCTGCAGTCCCCACTTTGGGATGTGTCTCTGTCTTGTACCAACTGCTGTCATTCTATTCTGGGATGAAGACAGACAGCATCACCCCTCAACCTATGCAAAGCACCAAACCAAGCTTTACCCTCCCACCCCAGTAACTCAGGGTGCACAACTTCACCTTAGACCGACTTGCCATCATTGTTACAACCTGACTTGGAAGCTCAGGGCTAAACCACAGCGTTTCTATCACAACATGCGCGTTCACAGTGTTTAAGATATTTTGCTGTCGTTATGGGGAAGGCAGAAATAGACAGTGTGTCCCTCTTGTCAAGTTGCTCATACGTTTGTCCTCACTGTGATACCAGCTTCTGCCTCACTAGCTCTGATCTACTCCACTTGCAGTCATTCTCTGAGGTTCACTTTTTAAATTCACTTTTTCTCCTTCCCTTCAAAAATATTTGTTGACTGACTATTGGGTTTCAGGCACTGTACCGTGCTTTACCTTTAGTTAATTCCTACAACAACTCTGAGAGGTAGGTGGTATTATCTTCATATTACAGATGGAAAAACTGGAATTCAGAGAGGTTAAGTGACTAGCCTGAGGACGCACAGTGAGTAAGTGGCAAAACCAAGGTTAAAACCCATTCTTAAAATCTCGGCTTCCTTCTCTTTTCTTTAATGGACTCAATGAGTTTTTCTCATTCACTGACCTTGATGAATTCATATTTCAGGACAAAAGCATTTATGCTGGCACTCAAAGTACCTTAACAGGAAGATGCCCGCGAGAGGGGTCTGGTCACCAGGACAGCAAACTGCCTTTTCAGGAGGACAATTGTGAACCTGCGGTAGGTTGAGATCCCGTATCTTGGTGTTTTTGTGTATGGCTGCTTTTAACTCAAATGAATAAAATTATTCCCATTTAAAAAGCAAGGGCAATGTGAATGTACTTAATGCTACTGAACTGTATACTTAAAAATGGTTAAAACGGTAAATTTTATGTTATGTATATTTTACTGTAATAAAAAAATAAATAATAATAAAGATAAAAAACAAAGGAATCACAGAGATTTTCTTAAAATGTGTCCTCTAATATCCAGATTTTCCAGAGTCGATAATGAGATCCCTACATGTAAGATCCAAGGAAGTTGGTTCTGGATACATCATCCTTTTGTCTTATGTTTTTAATATATTTGCCTTTGTCCTGAATGTACATATATCTAAGGGAGAGAAAAAAGGATTTATTATTAATAGTATGGAGCCATGCTGTCCAAAACAGTAGCTACCAGTCACATGTGTCTAATTGAGCACTTGAAACGTAGTAGTTTGAATTAAGATGTGCTGTAATACATACTAGATTTCAAAGACTTAGTATGAGGAAAAGAATATGAATAATTCATTAATGATTTTTATATTGATTACATGTTGAAATGATAATATTTTGATATGTGGGGTTGAATAAAATATGTTATTAAGATTAATTTTACCTGTTTCTTTTTATTTTTTTAAGGTAGCGACTAGAAATTGTAAAATCACATATGTGGTGTACTATATTTCTACTGGACGGGGCTGGTATAGATGCAGTGTATCATAACGGTTGAGAACACTGACTCTGGAGCTGTGTTTGATTTTTAGCTCCATGACTTACTAGTTGTGTGACCTTGGACAAGTGACTTAACCTCCCCATGCCTCAGTTTCCCAACCTGTAACAAGAAAACAATGAAAATACTCCTAGAGTTGTTGTGCGCATTAAATGAAGGCCAGACATGTTTGTGCTCTGTTGAGAGTAGCAATGGCCTTTAGACACAACTAAAAGGATCTATGTGGTAAAGATGCAATGTACATTAGTGTTTGTTTATTCAAGAATTTATTAGTTAAGGCTTGGGACTTCTACTGACAAGGATAATTCAGGTATCAATAAATTTTTGAGATTTTGAGAAGCCCCTCAGCCCTACTTTTGTCTCCTCCTCCCCCCAACAATATTTCAACATACACACTTGTGAATTTAACATTGATTACCTCATTGGGTGGAAATCAGATGTGGACATTTATAAGTTTCAGTCCAGAGCAAAAGTATAAATATCATGCTAACTATTTTGACTTGATCCCTCTCCCAGAAACATATGCACTGTTGCCAAGAATATACTCTCCCTTTCTCATTTTCATAGGTTCCCAATGCTCCACCTGCCTATGAGAAACTCTCTGCAGAACAGTCACCACCACCTTATTCACCGTGAGAGTCAGCAAGGCTCCTGAGAGATGCTGGAATGATTTCCTTCACACTTTTGCTTGAAATTAATATGGACATCTAATGTTCTGCATCGGAATGCTACAGAAACAGTGTACATCATCTCTAATAATAAGCTTAGAGTTAAATTCTTTAGGACAACTAGCAATACTAATTAAGTGAGGAAATGAGAAATATTAAAATGAGAAAAACTTTGTCAATAAACGTAATGAATGATACTATCTGTGCTAGTAGTAATGCTAATAAATCTACAGTGTTATTTTCTGAGGGACAGAATTCAAGAGTGTGTTCTAGGATCAACCAGTTTCTTTTTAGTTGAAATTTAGCTAATAACTATCAAATAACTATTCTGATTTTTGAAGAAGCATCCCTTGACCAACATGAACTCTAACAGAATTATTGCAGGTGAGTCTGTGCTATGGAGTGCTCACAAAGGATACCTTTACAGGTTTAAGACCAAGAGCTGATTGACCTACCAAATAATAGACAGATTCATATGATCAGGAACATGTCAATAACGTGTCTTTGTGTTCTAAAATTCCATGATGCTACAGTAATATACTGCATAGATCCTGTATCTTAAGTAATACATATAATGCAGTTCTAATTACATTTCACTTCAAGGCTCAATGCTATCATAATTAATGACAAGAATTTTCTATTAAACCAGAAGGTGGTATGAGGATTTAAATAAGTAAAAGCTACTGTAGTTTGGCTGATGTCTTGCCTTATACGTTCCAATGGTAATTTAGTTCTTTGCGCTCCCAAATCCCTCTCAAGAGAATATATAGAAGAAATTATAAATGATCAGAGATTCTGGAATGGTGTTATTATTTGCATAGCAACATTATAATTTTTTTTGGTTGACATCTACATATCACCTATAATATTATTTAATGTTTTTCTTACAGTCAGCGCATTTAAAAAAATTTTTGGCTTATATTTATATCACTCCCCTAAATAGAAAATCAGTATCATTTTCCATAAGTAGAGGATAACTATAAAAATGAAGATAAGGAAAATGAACTATTTTTATTAAAACCTAGGAAGATACTGATGGTCACAGAAGGCTGTCAACCTGAGACTTGCTCTCTTTACTAAAGTGGGAGATTAGCAAGAATCAGAGAAAAGCTTTTAATATAATTAAAAGGCTTGCAAAGGAAAGAAATGACTTTCTCACTATGTGACTCAGTGTTATTTAATGCTGAGTCAGTAAACCACCTAAAATCGTCTTGCGTCATTGGAAAAACCAGTGTAGCATAACTGCATCATTTTCTACAAAAGACAAAACTGCACTGAAGAGAAAAAACACTGAATAAAGAGACTTATTACACACATTGAAAAAACATGTCATTCAACAAAATACTAAAATACCTCCCTACCCTTCCTGATTCTGTCCAGTTTTACCACTTAAAACAAGCCATCTCCCTCCCCTTCACAAATAAATGAATTCTAAACAAAGTAAACTTCATCAGGCATTTGGCCAGCTCCTCTCCTCATTGCAAGGCCTAGTCTGAGCCTCAATCCTCCACATTTACAGAAAAACCTGTGGCGTGAGCCCTGGACCCCTCCAAGATCTCCAGACCGTCATCTGCTGTGAGTTCTCTCTTTTCCCTATGGAAAAAGACTCTCTTCACAGAGTCCCCCTAGGCATTGTCCCAGGTGATGGACAAGGAGTCTTGGGCTAAGTCTGCCAGAGAGAAACTAGGAGAGTGAGATTTATTTTATTTAAAGGAACAGAAGGTGTCAGATTCAGCCAAAAGAAGGATCTACTCCCTTCACAGAGGCAGCCACACTTTTGAAAATGACTCCCTGAATTGGAGACCAATTGCAGGACAACCTTGGGAGCCATGAGCTGAAGATGGCAGGTCACATGATGGAAGGAGCCTGGGTCACTGAGGAACCACTGGAGGAAAGTTTCCCTCATCCAGAAATCTTTGGATTGAAGGGGGACAAATTGGCCCCACAGAAAATCTGTGAACTGTCACACTGCCAAATCTGATACTGAAATCCAGGGCTGTTAGTTAATACCTTTGTTGAGGCCCTTCAGTGCTCTACCCCTGCCCACCCGGACAGACCAAACACAAACCAGTTGGGAGCCTTCAGCGGAGGGAGATCCCTGTGACCTTTGCAGGCAGGATCAGGCTTCCCTGCTGCCGAAGGAGAATCGAACTCAGAAGAATGAGCCTCACCCAGGGATGTGGACACAGGCGTCTCCTACTGCCATTATGCCCTGACATGCTCATGGGCAGAGAACGGGTAATGGCATGGCACTACTTTTATTTCCGGGGTTTCCTGCAGGATCAGATCAGGACTAGAGTGGTCAGAGTCCATGGCTGGTCTCCTCTGGTTGCATTCATTTTCTAGTTGCCCAAATGCAGTGGACAAATAATACCGCTTTCTATTTGTGCTGTGAGCAGAGCAAAGTTAGAGAGCTCTGTTTGATAGAACCTGGTCTTCCTTCCTCCTTCCGCTCCTCACCAGCCAACAGATGGTGTTGTCTGATGCTTGAGACAATGCCCAAATCTCTACAGATTTCCCTAGGAGATTCTGATATGGCCTCTCTGATTGTCTTTACAGTAAAGAGCAGGCATACTTTAAGGGAAAAAGAGCTAGTCAAAAGATTTTTCTGGCTGGGTTAAAGTCAGTGAGAAGATTAGACTGATGACGCAAACCAATGAAACCCTCAAATTACCTCCAGTGGAGACCAACCCTCTGAAGTTACAAACACTGAGTTTGGCAGCACTTATCTGGACAGGTCCACTCATCACTTGGGAATATTGTAAACCTTTTCCAAAAAGAACAAAAGTGAGCCCCCCAAACTTTCATTTCATGGCTTGACTTTAAGGACAGACACAGTCACTCGAAGATGCATCAAAATCCCTCAATCTCAAGTGACTAATGTCAAAACATCTTAAAAGCATCTTAGAATAATGCAGAACAACTTCAGAGGGAAACCATGGATGGTTTGGATGAAAACATTCATTTTTAAGAAAGCCTAAAACTGCTATTCCAAGAAGCTGCAAGGTGGAAGAAAAAGTGTGGGAAATGAAGAAACAGAAAAAAATGCGTGACGACTTGAAAACATGAATGAAAGAAGCTTTAAATGATAAAGACAGCCCATGTAAATCTCTGAAACTATACTCAAGATAAGTATACTTGCTTTCTTTAGAGAAGATTACACAGATGATGGCAACCTGAAAGTAGACAAAGAGCAAAGCAGAAAATTGAGAATCCCTAGACTGTCAACTAGAAGTTAATTTGAAGAAATACATTGATGTTGTTAAATGTTTCCTCAAAAAGGCTTGAAGGAGACAAACAGGACTACTTAAAAAGTGAAGAAAATTAAATGAACAAATCACTTACAGTTCAAATGAATGGTCTCCAAACTGAATAAACATCTTTGCAGTCTGAAAATACAGTTTGAAGGTAAGATTCAAAAACTTCAGCTAAAACTTCAAATACTGTCTGAACTATACCAAGAACGTGTAACGCAAATTTGCAAAAAATCAATGAGGGAATTTATTGCTTACAAATCCAGAAAAAACTTCCTAAAGTGTATGAAAACATTAGCCATAGACATCAGAAGCACAGCTCCTATAGGAAGATGGCCTTGAGAAAGTTGGAAAGAAGCACTTCCTTTTATCAAACCTGGATTGTCTCCCATGAGAAAAAAGCTCAAGCGAGTTGTTTGGCAGCCTGGCTAAGAGAAAGCTCGCTGAGCTAGGGAAAGAAAATAATCATACAGACAAAACTGACTAAAGATGTTTAAATTCCAGCTTCTCCCAAGTGGTGTCCACTGTTCCACATGCAGCCCTAGGCAGAGGCTGGAGAGTATCAGCGTACTCCCTGAATCATCAGGTCCCCAAGGAAGGAGGAGGGTTAAGCTGTAAGGGCTCAAGCATCTGGGTCACCAGCAGGTTTGATTTAGGTTTATAGCAGCCAACTCCTCAACATTCACAGCAGGACATCTGTGTTTACTCTTTAAAAATAATTTAGATCAATTTCTTTTCAACTTAACTGTTTTTACTTCATTGATGCTACATTTGCTCAAATTGAAATTTAATAGAATTAACTTCCTAAGATAGTGTTTTGTGAATCTAGACGGTTTTAATAAAATTCTTATGGATATTAGACCATTTCATTAGACCATCTAGAATTAGATCCATATTAAGTATTGTATTTAGATTGAACTAAATGGTCAACTATTACAATTAAGCCATAATTGAATTTTTGTATGATCAGGAAGAGACATTTAAATCAATAAAGACCATTTATATATGCTATGAACTATTAGAAGAAAATTTAAAAACAACTTGATATTTATCTCAATAAATTCTAGTCTAAAAACAATATAAAACAAGAACCCCACCAAAAACAAAACCCCAAACAGAATGGAAAACACCCCCAACAAAACCCATTAGTATTTTATTAGTTTAGCACTAAATTCATAGATTAATTTAGGGGAGGTAACACTTTGTTCATGATAGTCTTTGCTGTTTAAACGTTTCTAAATTTTACGCACTCAAAATAAAAGCTTTCCCTGGAAAAAAATCCCTTTATCCTTCCCAATTTAAATAATTTCTCTTTTTCTCACCTCTCTGTTGCTACCATTACTGCCAGATAACAGGTCTTCATACTACCTGCTTGACCCACCTGGTAACTTCCTAATGGGCCTCCCTGTCTCTAGTCAGGTGAATGACAGTAGCTACTATTTATTAAACATTTACCATAGGGCAGGCATTGGGCCATGTGTTTTACATAAATTATCACATCTAATCCTCACAGCAATTCTGCAAGGTAATGTAACGATCTTCATCTTACATACGAATGTTACTACCTTTGCTTCAAAACCTTCAGCAGCTCCCCAATTACTTTCAGAATAGTTTTCAGGCCCCTATCACCCACCCATTTCTTTTTTTTTGAGGAAGATTAGCCCTGAGCTAACATCTGTTGCCAATCCTCCTCTCTTTTGTTGAGGAAGATCAGCCCAGGGCTAACGACCGTGCCCATTTTCCTCTACTTTATATAGGACGCTGTCACAGCATGGCTTTGATAAGCAGTGCGTAGGTCTGCACCTGGGATCCAAACCTGTGAACTCTGGGCCGCTGAAGCAAGCACGAGAACTTAACTGCTATGCCACTGGGCCGGTCTCCCAACCCATCTGTTAATCATTCCCCATTAGTCCCTTAACCCATAATATTCCCTTCAAACTCAATCGCTCTGTTTCCTATACGCTCCTTGTGCTTTTTTTTGAATTGAGATATAATTGACATATAACATTGTATTTGTTTTAGGTGTACAACATGATTTGATATATATATATTGCAAAGTGATTACCACAGTAAGTTAACATCCATTGTCACACAATTACACTTTTTTTCTCTTGTGATAAGGATATTTTAAGATCTACTCTCTCAGCAACTTTCAAATATACAATCTAGTATTGTTAACTTCCTTGTGCTTTTCTAAGACTGAGTCTTTGCAGGCCCAGTTCTAAATATACTTTTCAGTCCCAGCACAAATGCCACCT